GCCTTAAATCATGGAATCATGTCTACATTATACCGGTTATTTTAAGTCATAAAAGAAGAAGAAAATAGAAATTTACCTGAATTACCCTCAATCAATATCTATATCCTTTGAAACAACCTTGTTTAAAGTTCGTTTCTTATTGGTCTAAAGTAGTTTGTAGAGTTAACACCAATAGATTGGTTAACAAAAGATTCTCCCTGTGTATTGAGGCCTAAACATTTGAGAACTTCAAAATTTGTGAGATTCGTGAAACTTCTATCTTAAGGTTATGTTTCACATGGTTTTTTCCATCTAAGTAAATTTAATTGGATCAACATATATTTGTTTCATATGAGTACATGTGAAACAATGACATTGTGAAATAAATATATGTTAATCACTACATTAAATTCTAGTTATAGATTGAAAAAATCATATGAAATAACACCTGATGCACTAGTTATCAAGGTTATCACAATTTCATCAGTTCTCAAAAAGTAAGGTCCTATATATATAGGGTTAGGTTTCGATGAGAAGAGAAGTTATAGTGAGAAGAGTAAGAAATGATGTCCACTCTTGGATCAATCCTAATTGAAGGTCAACTGCATCATATATCAATTCTCTTCTAAAGCACAATTTATGGATGTACATGAAATTAAAAGTGATCAAGGGTAAACCATAATGATGGTGTCTGATTGGTTTGAGTTTGGCTCCAAATGTCAAAAGTATCAGGAGGTCTCAGGTTCAAATCCAAGGAGGAATAAAAATCCTCTTGTGGCCACGGAGGTTCAAATGCAGTGACTCCGGACTATCTGCAAAGCAAGTGGTCACCTTGGAATTAGTCGCTTCGCATAACGGGTTGAATATTCAAGTTAATAAAAAAAAAAGTGATCAAGGGTAGATATCCGTTCTTACGTTTTTCATGTTAACTATTTTTCACACAATCCTTTATGTGTGTGTGTGTGTGTGTATAGGGGATTAATCAAATGAGAATTGTTTTGTTTGTGGTAACCGTAAGATCCAATATCAACCAATCATTTTAATATATTAATTATTCTTTTTAAATTAATGTAAAAGTGCATGTTAGTAAATTACTAAATTTAGATTAAATATTTATTTATTAATTTCATACGTTTCAAACTTCCAATTAATTTTGATTTTACATTCCTAAATTACCACATAAAACCACAATCTTTTGGGTAACACATGAAACCACAATCTTTTTTACCATAATGTAACTCAATATCTTGTGTTACCTAATACACTATTGGTATTGTATCACCTTGTCCCGCATCAGTAACTATTGGAATTTGTAACCCCTTATGACTTATGAGTTCTTAGTTATAGGATACCAAAGAATTTTCACAATGGGTTTAGTGGTTTGGAGGTTGTCTTATATGGTTTGCTACAAAAGAATTATCACCATGGGTTTAGTGGTTTGATAACACATGAAAACCACAATCTTTTTTACCACAATGTAATACAACATGTTCAACCAAAGCCTACAAATTGTTTTCCATCTCTTCTCGCACTACTAACAGGATCTTTTGTGTAATATAACATGTTCAACCAAAGCCTACAAATTGTTTTCCATCTCTTCTCGCACTACTAACAGGATCTTTTGTGTTTTTTGTTTTGATTTGATGAAATGTAATTTTAGAAGATTAACGGATTTCTAGGTCGCTCAAAATTAGGGGTGAGCATAGACGGGTACCCGCCCTTTTTGACAGGAACCGGAACCGGAACCGGCGGTTCTTGAAATATTGGAACCGGAACCGGTTAGAGCGGTTCTTAAATTTTTGGAACCGGAACCGCCGGGAACCGGTTCCGGTTCCGGTTCCGGGTACCCGCTTCCTAAAATATTAAAATTTTATTGTTTAGAAATAAAAAATAAAACATTGCCAAAATACTAAATAAATAAGCAAGAATACAAATTATACAAAATAATTGTTACAAATATTGTTTAACGATTACAAACTATAATAGACTAATAAAAAATATTCAAAGTTTAACGATTACATATTATAATGGTAAATGTTCAAAGTTTAACGATTGCATACTATAAATCCAAGTGAATACACAATTTGAAAAAATACGAATCATTTTATATGGAGAATTTAGATGAAGAATGAAAATGACGACGTGCTTTCAAGATGTAAACCTAATATAAATTTGGTATTAAAATATAATAATTATTTTTTTACTTGAAAAATACCGGGTACCCGGCGGGTAACGGTTCCGAAAAATTGAGAACCGGAACCATTCTCAATCGGTTCCGTATTTTAGGAACCGGAACCATTCATATCGGTTCCGGTTCCGGAACCGGCAGTTCCAAGGCGGTTCCGGTTCCATAGTCGGGTACCCGCTTCCGCTGCTCACCCCTACTCAAAATAGTCTCATTAAATTTTAAAAAAGTTGACATTTTTGCTCTTATTTACATACTCACATTATTAGAGAGTTATTTTTGGAATTTCAGTAATTAATTATTTTTCTTTTATTTTCAACCATTGATTATTAATTGGTCTTACAGGTCTCACGAAAAACCCTTAGTCTCACGTAAACCCAACCATATATATATATTATATATATAAAAGCTTTTCCTACAAGGGTGTCCCAAAATCATTACTATTATTGTTCAATCAATTACAAAGTGAGATGGTCATGATTATTCACGTAATGCATGAAAGTATTCTCAAACGCAACTACATTCCATTCATGTATAATGGAAAATAAAATAATTATTCTTTTTTTATCTAAAAATAAATGGATTAATCATTAAACTGTTGTTTACGTTACGAATTTAACGTTCAGATTATTGTATCATCCGTTTTAATTTAAAAGATCGACATCAAGTTTACAAACCATTCGATTTGACATTTCAACGGTATCGGGTTTGTGAAAACTAAAAATAATATCAATAAATTTATAATAGTACTAAATTGACGTGAAATCAGTAAAAGCAAGAATCATAAGTGAGGTGAGGATTGCTAGTCCCCCATCTAGGAGCATTTAGCATTCTTGATATACAAGCAAATTTACTTTCTAAGATTGGCTTCATCTTGACCGTTCGATCATCTATTACAAGATTTTGGCTTTTTTACGTTTTGGAGTAATTTGTGAACAACTGTTATGTAACAACCTGTCCCACATTGATAGAAAATGAGATCTGTGAGTTACTTGTAAGTTTTAAGTTGTGGACTACTAATAACTTTCACCATGGTTTTAAGTTAAATTCGAAGTTATTAAGTCAATCTCTTTCTTTGGGCTTTTGTGGTGTTACATGTCGGGTCACACCTATATCTAGAAGCGGGATGTATGCCATGTTTTCTCGAACGATGGGTTAGAGATTTTTAAGTTTGGTGTTTGTTTTTTATCGAGTCATGTTTGGATGGAGAGGTGTGAATGGATTATAGGGTTAAATACATGAAATAGTAACATACTTTCATAAATTTTCTTATTATAGCATTCTACTTTTGTTTTTCTTTGTTACAACAATGTACTTTCAAATTATTTTTTATTAAGGCATCGCACTTTAAGAAATCTACCGATTATAGCAATGGGTAACTTGTTACCTTTTAAACCGGTTAATCCCTTGACTTTTTTTGCTTGTGACTTTAATGAGGTGATGTGGATGACACATGATTTTGATGACTTAGTTAAAATAAAAACAAAAACCTATTTCAAATTATTATTAGTGATTTTTATTTTTTATTGCTATGATTTAGAAGAACATTTTTTTTTTACTTTTTCTTATTAAGTTGCATTCAAATTAAAAATTCTAGAGTAAAATATGTCTTAAATAAATATGCTAAAATTATTTTCGAGATATATTTTGTTTGTAAAAAATGTAACACTTCTTTTTTTTATGTTGTTAAAAAAAATACATATATTTTAAAGTTCTCTATAAAATGTTAACGAAATAAATTGTGTTCTACAAGTTTTTAATAAAAAAAATCTAATTAATTTAATATATTTATATGTCAAGTAAAAGTTTTTGAACAAAATATAATATATTATTTAAAAGACAATATTATTTTGATAAAAAAAGAACAAATCTTATTTTCTTTTTCAAAAAAACACATATTTAAAAAAAATAGTGAGATAAGTTGTCTTCTACTATTTTTATTAATATTGGTATATTAATGAATAGTTTAGAATTTTTTTTAATTCATTTAATATATTTATTAAATAACATGTAAAATATCTAAATATTAAAATTAAAAGTACATTGTTTAATATGAACTAGTAGATGCTATAATAAAATAATTTTGAAAGTATAATATTATAATAAGAAAGTCACATCACTATAGTACATGTAGACAATGAGATGGCATGGAAACCTGGTATAATGAGTAAATATAAATCAAAAGGTTACCCAATGCTATAATGGGTAAATTTTTCAAAGTACAATGTTCTAATAAAAAATAGTTTGAAAGAACATTACTGTAATAAGAAAAACTGAAAGTACAATATTATAATAAAAAAATTTATGAAAGTAGATTGTTATTTTATGCATTTTATCCTAGATTATATTGTAAACATTCACAAGTTGTTTTATATGTTGAATGGCATAAAATAATTATTTTAATCTTTAGCGTGAATGAAATTTTTACTGAAAACTTATTGCTTAATAAATATTTTGAAAGAAATTCCTAGATGATAAAAAATTATTATTTATTTATTTTGAAACATGAGGTGTAGATGAATTTACATAGAGGGTTGGCTTAATCATACTTAATCAATAAGCCATAAACAAACAAACCTATGTGGAAAAACAAACAAATCATCCACCTTATGAACACCCATTAAACTAAAACAATAAGCTAGATAAACCATTAAGACCTATCCGAAATAAGATACATTTAGATGAACAATGCATGCATCATGCCTTATCTAATTAAGTCATTTCTAAACATTGCTTAAAAATTACGCAAGAAAAAGACACTGCTTAATAACTAAGCAAATAATAAAACATAAAACATGCCCTTGGTCATGGGCTCATGGCTATCAAATCAACTTAATCACAAAGCAAGCAACTTTCTTGAGACAAATCTATACAAATTCAAAGTTTAAGCCGATCGACGAATCATAATGCGCTTAACGCGGGTTCAAAAATCAAGTTCTTTTCTCAGCCTCGGTTTTACCGTATATATGTATGTACGTGTATATAATCTGCATTTTTGTCATCAAATAAACGAAATTTATCTGAGTTTCCTAATGGGTAACGCACTCCCGAACAGTTTTTCAACTTCCGTCGCTTCCATTTGAAGTTCATTCAAGATTTCTTTCTCTTCTTTAGTGAGCTCCCTGACGAAGTTCTGTTCATCTTGCAGCAATTCCTTCCATCCTTCAGCCAACCTCTGAAATAAGCTCATTTCTGTGTCTCTAACCTTCACCACCTCTTTCTCGACCTCCTCTTCGATCTCTTCGGCTTCTTTTATCAGTAGTTTCTCGCCTTCTTCGGCTTTTTTCTCTAGTCTCTCCACGAGTGGGGGTTCGGGCCCACATGTGTTGTCGGTCCGTATGAAAGTGTCAAAGTTGCGACCTACACTTTGAGCCGCTTTTTGTAGTTGTGGAACGATGCTTTCTGGTAACTTTGAACTTCTTGTGTACACCACGGCTCCACCGTATCCGTCCCATGCGTCGTTCCTCCCACGGTAATATACGAATATATAGTCGTCGGGTTTATTGTCGATTTGGGAAGATAATATGTACCTACGCGTGTAATTTTGAGGTCAAACGGACTAATTTACATATGCATGCCAATGTGAATCTTTCAAGTTTCAAGAAGCAATTGGGCATATATCAAACATTATAACAAATACCACAAACGGGAAATAAATCAAACCAAATTAACCTGTAAATCCCACTCGAAAGTATGTATAGGTGTGAGATGTATGCAGACCTAACCTCTACCTCAAAGAGTAGAGCGGCTGGTTACGTCAAGAGCGTGAGAAAACACACACACAGCAAGTAAGAAAGCTTGTAAGAAAGTCCATGTCAATCTCCGAGCTCAAGAAGTCTAAGTTTACCTTAAAAGTCAAAATATGCATCTTTTCGCACAGATGCAGTACGTAAACACATGTAGATCTCCTTGTATGGAATAGATGGTCTATGATGCTTCTCTATATGACAAAATCAACATTCCCAGTATAGGAACGGTTAAAAAATACCAGAAAACAAGGGTATCGGTGGACCTCTACAACGATTTCAGGTCTCTTTGGTGCATCAATCTGTAGGCAGCCAATGGGTTCACCATCTATCTTAAGCTATTAGATGAGTTGATAGCTTAGGCTTTGTTTGGAAGCACTTTCGTTTTAGAAAAGACACGACTATAAGCCCAAAAGAATCTACAAGATCTCCATAATATTCGAGAGATTAAGTCATAACCAAACCAAACAATCCCATTATTATCCTGCTTGAGAGCAGGGGGTCTGGACCTGTCCTCTGTCCCAAAGGGTAGAGCATTCGTTTCCCAAGGAGAATAGCGAAATAAACTAAAGCCTACTTAACAAATATAACATCTTCTAACGCTCCTCAAGTTGAAGTGTAGATATGTGCTAAAAGATCAGCATATAAACATGATCTGTATAGCTTTTAGGAATGTTATGCATTGACCCAAGCCCAGGCCTATCAGTACCTTATAGATTCTAGAAGAGGTTAGAGAGGGGTATAGTCGGGAATTAGTCTATTTTGGCTAGTATAAATAATAGGGCAGTAGCCATATTACGGTATCCAGATTATTAGCCTTCTCATATCGGAGAGAATATCCTCTCGAATTGCTAGAAGTTCCATTCATTGTCATTATCGTTGTTTTCCCGTTCATTTGGTTCAAGTGAATACAATTTGGCCAAGCATTTCCTTGCTATTACTGTATTTGTTTCACCCCTGTTATTCAGTTCATAACAAGGAAGTGATTTTGTTCTTATGTTGTTTCAACAGTATTTTCATAAGCATAACTTTAAACCTTTAATGTGTATTTCGTAAGATATGTGCTAAAAGATTAGCATATCAAAACTAGCTGATAAGCTAGTCACGTTTGGTAAAAACTAGCCGATAAGCTAGATGACAATGTAAAATGACTGAAAAGAAAAATACAAGGGGCATAATAGGAAGAGGTGGAAAAATTTCCCAATAAGCTATCTGAAGTAGCTTTTCAAAATAGCTTATGACTTACCAAACGAAGTTTTTCAATAAGCTCAAAAGATAAGCCAACTTATGGTTGCCAAACATGGGCCAAGTGTTTGTGTGCGGGAATAGTCACATGCAATCATGCATGCTAGGGTGAATAACTAAATATTCCTTTTGTCCCAAAATAAATGTCTACAATGAAAAAAGCACATAGTTTTAGGAATGCGTGATTATTATACTCTTTTTTTAACAAAAGGACAATTTTACCCTTAATTATAGAGAGATAAATTTTCTCCATCTCATGATTAAGGGTAGAATAGGAAATTAGACATTTACTTTTGAAAGTGGACACTTGTTTTGGGACAAACTAAAAAGTAATGTAGACACATTGTGGGACGAAGGGAGTATATAGAATACATAGAAAAAGATTTGAAGGAAACTAGTTACCAGTCATCTTGGTAGTGAAGAAACTCGTTGTCATGATTGTAGAGAGCTCCCGGAAGGTTTGGATCCTGCACAAATTTTTGCACAGCAGATCGAGTAAAGAATCCACCATCTGGAGTTGCAATACGCCACGTCAAATTCCCTACAAGTTTATCAGACTCCGTATGGAACTCATGCAGTTGACAATCAAAGGCGTCAAACGTAGGATTTAGACCACTCGTTATGAACCACTTCCCACTGAAGTCTTTCATGTTGAAGCTTTTGACCAATGCAGAAGGATCAGGGACCGGAAATTCACCCACATCAGATTTCCGAGGTACGCATTTCTTTCGTGAAACTGCACACTCATTGAACTGATCCACAACACTGTTTTCAAACAAGTCTCCACATTTTATCTGTGAACGAGAAGTTAATGAATCTGTAAGAATCAAGAGTTTTCTAGCATTTACAATAAGAAAAAAAAATATATAAGTTACGAATTTACCTGGCATTCGGTCTCATCGGGTCTATTGTTACAGGTCTGGAGACAGGCAACGTTTGCTGCACAAGATGGGTTTGCGATACATTTCGCTAGTTCAATCCTGTAAAGAGCACAATCACTCAATAGCTTACAACTAAAAGGTGCCATTTGTTAACTTGCTAAATTTTCACGTTTAGAATCAAAAGGTAAGGTAAGGTATCCGTTCAAGGACAAGGACATCAGTAGAGTGTTTTAACAATTTTTAAAACAAAACAAAGTTGTGTTCAAGTGAATGCCACCATTTTTTTTTATTGAAACCATCTAGAACAGGGCAAGTAAAAAAATTATATCATTTACTGAAACCATCTTTTCTGTTTTTGGTACCTGTTGCTTGTTTGCACACACTCTCACTTATACCTTGCTCTTTTGTTTCTCTTAATTTTTGGTTTACAAACCGGGGGGGTCTTCACGGAAATAGTCTCTACTAACCCTATCTCTGCGTGAGATTTACGGGGTTTGTTTATTTGGTTTTAAATGAGCTACTTGATGACTCTTGTGGGAACAAAGCTTCTTTGTAACTAAGTACGCTCCCAGAAGTATCTTAGTTTGTAAATCAAGTTTGGAAAATAGTGCCCATATGAAAGCCCAAATCGCACCAAATACAATTCAACTATCCCAATTAGTTATCACATATACACAAAATCAATGTACACAAGTAACTTCTACCACGGACTTATAAGGAGCTTGAAAATCTAGAATAATATTTCTCGAGCTTATTGAAAACAGTTTGATATGCCAAAAACTAGCTTATAAGTCAGCTTTTTGAAAAGCTACTTTAGATAGGTTTTCAATAAGCTCTAGAGGTTTTTTTCACTTTTTTCAGATTATTCCCCCTAAATGTGACTAGTTTATTAGCTAGCTTTTCAGCCAACAACTACTACATAGCCTAAAAGTTCATGTGTGGTAGGACATTAGAAGTGTTTTAAAATAATAATCAGAGACAATTTCAGCACAATACCTGTGTTATTTTTTTCCACAACTAGATATGTATTACCTATTTTGATGGACAAATAAAGGCAAGTTTCTAGCAATCCCCTACTCACAATGCCACATTCACACCTTTTTGGTTTGGTGCTTAGAAAGATTAACATGGGTCAAATTACAGCTACGGAAACTGAATCTGGAAGAAAAAACAGTGTTTGCACGATAACTTAAAATGTGAAGGAGAACAATCAAGGAAAGACGTAGCATCCTTCTTGTTAACATATGTAGTTTATGCATATGTATATATAGAGGGAGTTTAAAATACAATCCGTATAATTACTATAAATCATACAAACCAATCTCGACCGTCTGTATAGATGATAAACGGTGTAGATTTGGCTCCTAAATTTACTCTCAACCTCATCTTTAACTGATTTAATAACCGTCTTTAGATTCCAAAATAAACAAAATCAAGGGCCCAGTTTTGGTTTGTATGATTTCTAAAAATTGCACGGTTTGTATTTGAATCTCCCTTATATATATATACTCCAGGGACTAGTTGCGTCTTTTACAGTTAAGGTACAACGAAAGTCGGGTAAAATACCTGCACTCTTTCAGTAAGCAAGTACACGTTTTAAGAGCATCAACAGCGTCAACCCTGGGAATGACAACGAATGTGCAAACCAATATGATTGCCAATTGTATGAATTGCTTCCATTGCCTCTGAAGAATCAAAGTCACACCCCTTGTATGATCAAGGGTTTCTATTTCCTTCAAACAGAAAGAGTTCAAAGTAGAGCAGGAAGTAAGAAAGAAGTGCAATGTAGCATCAATGGACGAAAAGGTGAAGGAATGGCAAAGATAAGGCATACAAGAAATTACCTCAAAACTTGCATCAATGCTACATATCGGAGATTTCTCCTTGGAATGCGACAATGGTGTTGAACGGCTAGAGTCAAGCAGACAACTTATCCTATAAGATCTGAACAGCTGGAAGTATTTACAATATCCATGGTTAGATCGAATTTTCATCATAACTATACTGGTAGGAGCCGATCCACTCCTGTGAAACCTTTCATTACATGGTGATCTGGCATACAAACTGGCGGTTTCCTCTTTGCAGAGAAATACCGTGTGCAGAGAAAGAGTCATAGTCAGTATGATAGATGCCAACCTGAAAATTGTTAAAAAAGAAAGAAAGTTAGAAATCACATTTAAGCTTTCAAAACTTCTCTGAGGTCATTACCAAAATACAAGTATCAAACGAACATCAAATATGGACATCTAATTAGGCCCTTGATTATTCATTAGAAGGATTTGCAAATACAATAAAATAGGTCATATTCTTGATTAGTGAGAGATATAAGATAATACACTACGGTCTATGCTTTTTGTAGTTAGTTTTTTTTATGATTCTATGCTAGGCATTAGTGCAAAGTTAGAACTACAAAGAAACATTTTGGAATCAAAGGGCCCGGACAATACAACTAAACCATAGTACATGAAGTGCAACTTTAGAGGCATTGGTTAGGAAGTGGAAGATGGGGTAATCATGTTCGGACTTGCACATTATATCTTCCTTTATTTGTTGTAATGCTATAGAAGAATAAAAAGATTGATAAGGATGCTAGTCACAGGATAAAAGCACACAAAAACCTCATGAGATTTATGGGACAGAATGTTTGGCCACCACAAAATTGTGAACATTGAAATAGATGTGGACCCACATATGGGTGGATGGGATTATAGATGATGATATTTAACTAAGACCAAGTTAGGGCAGATGCCACAAACCATCAAGTCTAGATGTATCATACTGTCCAGTAGACACATAGGGTTTCAGTATAATGATAATATGTGAGAGCTCCTTAAGTATGTCGGAATTAACCTTGAGGGCCAGCTCAACCGGCAAACAAAAGGCTAGACTTTGGGACTCCTCCCAATAGGTCGCCAGTTCGAGTCTCCTCAGGGCCACTGGGGATTTTCCTAGCTTCTATCTTTAGGACCTCCAGGGACTAGTCGAGGGAGCGCAAGCTAGACCCGTCACCCATGGTTACCAAAAGAAAGTATGTGAGGATGTACGAGAGGATGAAAATATGGGAGCCGGGTCTATGTGATTGGACAAATACCAGAGTGATAAATGAGCAATACCCGAGGAACAATGGTAGTAAAGGCCATAACATAACTTCAGATTTACATTCATTTAGTTCATGTTTGTGGATCAACCATTTGAAATAGAACTCACATCATGAAAATGATTCGTGTTATCGAAGGTTCGATGACTAAAACAGCCTCTTCCTTAGAAGGGAACATAATGTATCGCAAATGTAGGAACCAATCTGGACATGTCCTTCTTCAAAGCTACAAACAAAAATCTGTCCTACTCAATTGTTTTATTAATAAACAGTACCCTTTTATCACTCTCCAGAGCATCGGGAAGATCCATAAAACTTCATGAATTCTGCTTACATTTTGACTTTGGAGTCAAACTTTGAAACTTCAAAACATTAAGCAGCATAACATGTTGATTTTCTTTAAATTAGATTAAACAATATAGCAAATAAGTAGTACCGCACAACATTTTGTAACAGCAGAACTAATCTATGATTCTTCTTGCATCGAATTCATATAAAAAAGATTTGGGAATCATAAACCCTAAGAAGCTACAATTAACAAAACGTTCAAACCCATACAACATTACCAAAATTCAAGAGTTCTAAGCCAATTCAAACCATAAAAGAAAACCATATAATTAGGTTTACCTGTCTGATATGATGACAGTGCCGATGATTAGAGTAGTTGGAGCTTAATAGCAGCCTCCTTTGGTGGGTCTGTRGAGTGATGTTCTTCTGTGTTTCAAACATTATAGCAATCAAAATGGTGTATAGTATATATATGGGTTGGGAGAGATGAAGATTAGATAGTTGTAGAAGAGGGGGCTCCTTATCCCAATTATAGTAAAGACAAAATTAATGGTGGGTAGAATTGAAACCCACGTCACTTCAAATCAATGGAAGGTCTCTACGTAATCCTATCGTTAGTATATAGGTCTTAAGGTTCTCTTTCTGGGGGAAACGTCTAGGCCTACCAACTTCTCTGCCGATATTTCTCCATGATCGTTAATACAGTTTTTTTTTAATTAACCCGTATATTCAACTCGCTATGTAAGCCAATTAATTTCAGAACAATCACATGTTTTGTAGATAGTTTGGAGTCAACGCATTTGAACTTCCGTAGCCATAAGGGAATTTTTATTCCTCGGATATGAACCTAAGCCCTCCAAGTACCTTTGACCTTTGGAATCAAGCTTAAATCAATCAGACACCAATCTTGTGGTTGAAGTGAAGCATGGTTAAGGTTAAAGAGAAGAGTCAAGAGTGTATTCATGAATCGTGTTTGATATTGGAATTGATTCGGTGCTTTCATCCTAACGTGTATTTAAGGATGGATGTATCTTCTTATGTTTTTTCACCATAACTCTCATTCTCACCGAATACAATCCGTATTACTGATATTTTTACGGGTAAAAGCCTTCTATGATTTTTTGTACATGTACTTTATGAAATTGTTGTAAAAACAGGAATCGAGAAAAAGAATAGATCAGACAAGAAGGAAGATCGATGACATGGGCTATCGACGATAAGGAGCGGCAACGCAATATGGGGTATGAGGGGTTTGAATGGTGTATGGTATGCTGACGGTAAAATTGATTTAGTTTTTTTTTTCCCTTTAAAAATATTCTAATCGGTTGCATGTAGTTTTTTGGATTAAAAAAATGTTAGTAATTTTTAAAAATTATTTAAAAATAATATTCAATAAATTAATTATTTAAAAATAAAAAAGTTCAATAATTTATTCATTCAAAAAGAAGTTCAAGATTTAATCATTAAAATGGAATAGTTTGGTTGATTTCGATAACAAAAGTTTCAAACCTAATAATTTATCCGAACCAAAATGTTTCACGTTATTAAATTTCTAGTCAATTAACAGGATAAAGATAACTTATTATGTTCATTATTCAGTTTTTTTTTTATAATTTCAGTTAAATTGAGCACATTATATGCTATTTGTATATTTTATTATTTTAGTTAACCTAAAAGCAAATGGACACATTATACATTAATACAGAACTCGATTAATTCATCATGCCAATCTGTAATAAAACGTGTTGACACTGGCATAAAACAAATTCTTAAGAAATATGATAAAAATACAAATCAAACCCTAAATTAAACAACTAATAACTGGTAATTAATAAATATCAATACGTATAAATCTATAAATATTAGAACGCATAAAGAAAGATAGAAAATAACATTATAGCAAATAAAATAGACGACTTTAGTTGGGTTGGGAAGTTGAGAATTCGGTCCATAGAGTTCAATTCATATATTAGCCAAGTTTATTTTTACCATCACTTTAAGGGTTGGGTTCACGTGAGACCAGTCTGTTTTTGTTAGACCCGTGAGATATTTTTTTAGTTAAGGTTGAACCATGACTAATGAGTAGTTCAATTATGAGTAGTTGTCAAAATACAAAGGAACTTGTGTTTGTTTGTATTGCTTAAAAGAAATTAAGGTTGAACCATGACTAATGTTACATCTACTTAAGAATATGAGAACAAACATTATGGATTAGAATCTTCTAGGTTAGTGAATGCTCAAAAACCAATCATATGATGATTGTAATTATGAGTTTTGTTTCATGAAATGATGAAATTAATAAATAAATAAATAAAAGACACTGCCTGTTTTATTATGTCTATTATATTCTGTGTTTTAATTATTCATAATAAACAACCTTAAAATAATTCATCTTAAATGTCTCTAGTTAAATATTATTTTGGGTTTAAGATTGAAGTAATATGATAATGAGTAACATATGTAGGGATTCATATAGAGATATTGAATTTGTATATGGATAACTTGGATCATCTATTGATTTTGTGATGACCCACTGATTTGTTCCTTTACTCTATCAACACTTAATAATTATTGGTTTCTTGGTACATACTTAAAGTCATTGGCAAAATCGAAGACTAGCTGATAAGTGTTAATTTATTAACCTTATTACATCATTTTCTTAACCATTTCCTTTGTTTTATTTGCCCATTAGTGTCTTAATTGAGTCTTTTTATGTCTTTTTCATATATTACTAGTAATATAATATATCTAATGTTAATCCCCTGTTTATGCAGGTTTTTGATGATTTTTGGGCCCGATCCTGCAGCAGTCATGTAGGACCAAGAGTGGCAAAGTCCTATAGCACCTGTTCGGGAGCGGCACTTCTACATGGGCCGTGAATTAGTGGGCTGCTCCTTTGGGCCCGGTCAAAACCCATTTTTGAAGAGTCTTTTGTCTTATTAGGTGGCTCCCACTTATCAAACTCCCTTAGCCTATAAATAGAAGGTTTAAGGCTTGAGTTTACTTACCAATTCACCAATTTACATGATTTCTCCCATTTTGATATTAATGATCTTTGTGTTGGTCGCTCTCTAAATTATTACTTTCGCTTTCAAGCTTTTGGTTTTCTTGTTTCCAATCAAGAACCGATTTTTGTGAAGTGAAGTTGTGATTACATTTTCAAGTTTAATTTAAGTACTCGTATTTAATCTTCATCTCATTTCTGATTCTATTTCCAAGTTACGTTACATTTTCTTACTTTTGTTACGAGTTACGAATTAGTCGATCTCTGTTGCTTTACATTGGATTTTATTCTTTGTGGCTCACGTATAATTTACGTAAACTAAATAATCTGTTTTTAAGAGTTTGCAAGTAACATTTTCGATCTTTGTAACGAAACTTGTGTTGCAAGTTTTGTTATTTGTCTTCCAA